AGTGGAGGAATGCCATCAAATACTACAAGAGTTTGGAATCGATTTAAAGGATCTGTTGTTAAGTGAAGACAAGACACTGATGTCCACAATTTTATCAAAATTCTGTGCGACAACTGCTCTACAGATAGCACTCATTGAAGTGATTAAAGCCCTCGACATCACACCCGACGGCATAATCGGCCACTCGTTTGGTGAGATCGCCTGCGCTTACGCTGACGGGTGTCTGTCCACTAGTGATGCCCTAATGGTTACGTTTTCGAGGGGTTTCTTCACTGAAACTGAAATCAATTCTGTGATACCAAAGGGTTTGATGGCAGTCGTGGGACTGTCACAGGAAGAGGCGCTTAAAATGTATCCAAAAGGAGTGTTTATTGCCTGTAATAATGCTAAAGAAATTGTTGTTGTCTCAGGTAATAAAATAATAGGGAATGCCTACTTTAAATTATAAATAAACCTATATAACAAATATATTTTTATTCAATTTTAGGTCCAATGAATGAAATGAAAGAAATGATTAAAACATTGGAAGAGAACTCAGTATTTGTGCGGACACTACAGAGCAGTGAAATCCCATACCATTCCCAATATATGGCACCGGCAGCCAAGAAAGCTACAGAAGTTCTAATGAAATGAAAGAAATGATTAAAACATTGGAAGAGAACTCAGTATTTGTGCGGACACTACAGAGCAGTGAAATCCCATACCATTCCCAATATATGGCACCGGCAGCCAAGAAAGCTACAGAAGTTCTTAAACAAAAGATCTCTAATCCTAGGCTAAGATCCAAGAAATGGTTGTCCACTGCTATACTGTCTGAGCCAACTGAGGAGGCGTTGAAGTACGCATCGGCCGAGTATTTTGTGCATTTAATGTAACAAACATTTGAATACCACTCACAATGCGTTCAAACTATTTTCTGTTGATTTATATAATTATTTATATGATTATATTTTCTACAAAATAATAATTGGTTTTGTATTTAATGCTTAAAAAGCTACTGTATTCAAATGTTTTATAATTTAAAGTTTTATGTATTCATAGTTTTTCATATTTAAAAACAATACAATAAACTAAAGTTTTATAGTTTGTTCAAATACAAATTTTACTATAAAATAAATACTGTATTACAAAACTTGACAAATCAATGTCAAGCTTTGACTATGGGCTGGACGCTGGACAGGGAGCTCCCAAACTGGACAATCCAGCCCGAAGCTGGACGCCTGGTTACACTACATATACAGTATATTATATGTATTTTTACTCCTAATAACTACACTATAATTGAAGCCTAATTGCACACTTGTCCTGTCCTCCCTGTCCTCCCTGTCCTCCCTGTCCTCCTAACAATTATTTCATAAATTATTTTAAAAATGATTACAAACTCACAGTTATTTACATGAATTTTGGAAAGTAATTGATAATTAAATAAATATTTGCATTATTTTGAAAATTATCTCTGGGGGGCATTACATTGTCCTCCTGAGACCCTCGGGAGGACTGTTTTCGGGGGCCGATTGGAGGACGAGTGGCAGATTATATGCCCTATATAATCTAGATGAAATACATAAATTATGAGCCACATATTTTTTGTTTTTAAATATTTTAGTTGTCACTGCTGTATATAATATATTTATTACCAGGACATATTAGGGGTGGTAAATATGTGTGCGAGCTAATTTTGCCTGCATTCTCTGGTATAAATGTTTCAGGATTAAAATGATTGAATAATTAATAATGATTTTTTTGTTTTAGAGTTTTGAATTTAAATAAACACAAAATTAACCGGACTAATTTATAATTAAATTTTAACCTTTAATTATTTCATTATTTATTATATTCAGTAAAACTATATTATAATATGTCAAATAAAATTTAACTAATTTTTTCTATTAAATATAAAGGAGGCATCGTTTATAACCGGCACTAATATGTTGGTCGACGGGGGCTATTCAGCTGCTGGTCTACCATAAGCTATAACTTCTATAGTTTAATATATAATCAAGATTAATGTCTACAATAATTAAACAATTACAAGTTTAATTCATGTTATTTTATAGTTAAGTAGATTTGTAATATTATCAGTATATTCTCAAAATGTTATTTTTTTCTAATAATATAATTATATTTTATTGTGAAATTTGTTATGTTTTGATTACATTTGTAAAGTTTAGGCAATTGTTAACTATACTGAAACTAGTTGTTACATCACATAAGTACATGGATTATTTTATTGTAATAAATAAAAAATACTAGGCCAACAAAACTGGTTGACTCATTTTTTTGATGACCACATTCATAATCTGATCCCTTTCTCAGCCCTACCCTAACCTATCAGACAAATAATGCAATCATAAACTTAATAGATAACATTACAGTACAGATCAGCCAGTTCCATGTATTACAAATGATTACAACTACAGAATTGTGTATAGACTACAGAAAGTATAATAAATGAGTATTTTCTACACTAGTCATTTTTAACCGCGATTCCGTGTGGAAAAAATCGCGGTAACCCCCCCTCCCCCCTCCCCCTCCAGATACAGTAATTTTGTGTTAATTTTACAATGTTATTTGCTTGGTAATTTTAATTGTACAATAAAACTCTTACGAATAACTTCGGGAACATTGCCGACAGTAATTCACATCGTAAATAGAAGGGCCTGGAAAGGGTGCCTAGAGTTGAACGCAACGTCAAACATAGGTGACCCCGGTGAGCACGGCAATGACCATGATGATTTTGACAAATCGATTCAACTTCTTTTCAATCGGTGTTTGATCGTTGTTGATATTGGACACCAGTTTGGCTATATTGCCGATAAGATATAATTAGGAATGCAATAAAAGTGGATAAAAAGTGGGTAACAATGAAATAAATTAAGTGAATGACCCATCAGTTATTATAAATTATTACTAATTTTTACAAATAGTATCTATTTTATTGCAAAATATATTCATGAATTGAAATCATTTTATATAGAAAATAAAAATGAATTTTATTTTACATATTCATATTTGATTCATTTAACCAAATGATAGGCTTATTGTACGTAATAATCACTTAATAATAGACTATTTCATATGATTTATTTTATTTATACTCATTTTGAATCATTAATAATGAATATTTTTATAAAATAAATCAAATTCCCTTGATGAGATATTTTGCAAACCGAGATTATTGCTAATAGATTACTTGTAAACTTTATTCATACAATTTTTACCATTCATTCAGTACGTGCACACAAATACACGGAATTACAAATAATATTTCCACTAAAATTTCATTTGTAGTTATAGTCCATCATATAATAGATCAATGGTATACCATAACATTGTTTGCAATTATAAGGGAAAGGGATGATAAGCAATCAAACTTTATAATTCATAAAAACTGCTGTCCAAAATTGATCATTTTTTTGATGATAAATAATTTAGGTTGTTTAGTGCGTGAAAACAAAAGCATTGTTAGGGTTAGTCACTAATTAGGATTGTTAATCATAATGTACATTCAAAAAATATTAATAAATTTAACTTTAAAAATGATATTTAAAAAATTTACAAGGTTAGTAAACCAAATGTACTTAACTAATGTAATTCTATTGAAATTGCCAATGTGTCCAAAAAACTGAATGCCCCAAACCTACCACAGGCCCGTCCAAGTGAAAAGTACTGGACATAATATTAAGTTACACTGCCTATGAGATCAGAAACACCTAAAAATGTCACTGAATTTAATTGTTTTGGAATAATATCTTAAAAACAATCGTTAAAAAGCATGGAAAGGCTCTTATGTGATGCCTGTTAAAGAGGCTCCGGTAGATCGGGAGGAAAGGTGTTTTGACTTAATTTGAATAATATCAATTATCAGTTTAATACTACTTACTTTATATTTAAAATATAATTTGATTTCAATAAATAGTTTTAATTTTATAAACATTTAACTGCAGTCCGGTTATTAAGTAATACACACCTTATATATAATTGTAGGACATTTAAGCTATCATTTCAGTGAACTTATTGTAAATGAGAACAAATTATTTAAAATCTGTTTGTCATCCAAATGTGTCTACCATTGCATCTCCCGTTCCCAAAGCGACTCCAAACCCGTCCCATCCATACGTCCTTAACCTTCTCATCAATCAAATCGCTCTGACTTTGGGTCAAAACGGCTCTCCAGTCGCCGGGCATTCCGTCCCACTTGACATCATTTGTCTGTATTATATAGAGTAGTGCTGTCATTACTACCGGTGCCCTCGCGTTGGGTAAATCTGTCTACGAATTCCTTACCCAAGAATTCAGACATTTTTAGGATACTATTCTTTGGGCTGTCAACCAAACTCTCGTACGTAATGAGCGTACAGTTGCCACGATCCCGGTGCTCCCACTGAACTCTCATAGCCTCGAAATAGTCGCCGTACGGGAGTTCCCGACCAGTGATGAACATCTCGAAGAATGCGTTGAACTCTATGTTGAGATCTGTTTGCGATTTCCACGACCGGTATATCGAAACGCAAATGTCTTTCGGGTTTCGGATTATAATTAAGTACTTCGGACGCGGATTATACGCGATTAGGTTGAGGGTCGTGTGGGTGGCCAATAGGGTAGGATTCCATGCATCCCGTTCCCCGCGCTGGCTGTCCACTACGCGGAAGCCATGTGAATCCAGAAAGTATACGTATTGACCATGCTCAATTTTGTCCATCCTATTCATTATATTTTTCAATACATGGAGACAGTGATGGACTCCAGATGCAGGGCCCGCCAGTAATATACGGTCGCAGTCAAGGGGCTGGTAGTTCAGTGCGAACTCCAGGTTCTTAGGCTCGTGGGCACTGAAAAATAAGTGATTCCGCACCTTTTGCACTGGTAATGCCATTTTTGGGTTAAATCTTTAAAAGTAGTAATGCTACTATATTTAATAAAATAGTGCCAATGGTTTAATATGCATTGTATTTATGTTTTGATTAGGGATTACGGATATCTATGAATAAAAAGTTATTTTATATTAGTTTCTATGCGACACTAATTGGTTACTATAGACCTTGCATGAGTGCCTGAGCCAACTGAAAGCCACATATTTTGTAAACAAAATATGACTGCCATTATGCAGAAAGGGCTTTTATTTTCAAAATATGCTTAAATATAAAGGTAACTAATGCTAGAGTCGATAAAAGGATCCAATTCAAAATATTTACATCTATGACCTGTCAAACTGGTCTTATCAGT